TTTTCTAATCTGATGTGATATTAATCAGATCCCACGATCAAAAACTGAGACTACTGATAGGGCGGACTACTGGAGAAACTCCCTAAAAATAAATGATCATGCTTTACCCCCTTTTCATTCGGGTTGATTTTAATAAAAAGCATGGCAACGGGAGTTAAGTGAGACAAATTTAAAATTCAAAAATTGAAGTGAGTTTTTAAAATTTAAAAGATAATGACCTCAAAATTTAGATGCAACATAAAATTATCGTTTTATTCTTTTAAAAAAGCAAAACAAATAAAAACACAAGAAACAAAAATATCAAGGGCATCCGCCTTCGGAAAAACCTAGGGTGTGTTTGGAATTGGTTCCAAAATAATTTTGTTTTTTGTATGAAAATGAAAATGAAAATGAAAACGTTTTTATTTTCATTTTGGAATCATTTCTGAAAATATGTTTTGTAGTTTTATTCTGAAATTGATTGTGTTTGGTGGTTTAATTTTTAAAAACATGTAATAATATTTAAAATAATAATATATTAGGGCAGTCACAGACAGCGGGGCGTAGTCGCAGAAGACTGGGGGGAGGGCGAGCAGTCGGAGACGAGGGCGGGGGGCGCGCAGTCGCAGAGTGAAAGGGCTAAAGAGAGAAAATGAAAACGGAAATAAATTATTTTCATATTTTCATCTAAGGACAATAACGTTTTTATTTTTAATTTTTTAAAAATTTGACGCCAAACGCGTTTTCTTTACACGTTTTCATTTTTCATTCTCAAAAATCGTGAAAAATGAAAACGAGAAGGGAAACAAACAGGGCCCTAGTGTTAAAAGGTTTTCTATTCACACTATAATTTGTTGGTACATACCTTTTATATATTATTAGTTGAAGCCCACATGCTATGCTATGCAAGTGGATAGTAATCTGTGTGTTAAATTTTAAATATATAGTATTATTAAAAATATATAAAATTTGAATATACCTAAAAAACTGAAAAGAGAATAAAATTTTAGGGCAGGAAGCTAAAAAAAGATAAGAAAAAGATTAAAATAAATAAATAAATTTTAAGACAAAAAGAATCAAAACGAAAAGAAAAAGTTTTAGGGTAAAAATAAAACCAAATGAAGAAGTAAAAAGTCTTACGATAAAAGGAACCAAAACAAAAAATAAAAAAAAAGGGTAAAAGGGGTCAAAATGAAGAAATAGATAAGTCTTATGGCAGAAAGAACTAAAATAAAATAAAATTTCAAGACAAAAAGGAAAAAAAGGGGGGCAAAATAAGATCAAAGCGAAATAAATAAATAAGTCTCAGAGAAAAAGTAATTAAAATGAAAAATAAAATTTTAAGACAAAAATAAAAAAAAAATTATCAAAAAATGAGGAAATAAATATTTTCGAAGGCAGAAGTAAAAAAATGGTCAAAAAGGAACAAAATGAAAAAATGAAAAAAAATGAGGAAATAAATATTTTCGAGGGCTGAAGTAAAAAAAGGGTCAAACAAGGAACATAATGAAGAAATAAATAAGTTTTAGAGTAAAAGAAATTAAAATAAAAAAAGAAATAATAAGATCTTAGGATAAAAAAAATAAATAAAATGAAGAAATAAATAAGTTAAGTATCAAGGTAAAAATAAAAAAAGGGGTTAAAAAAAGACCAAAATGAAAAAATAAATAAATTTTAGGGAAAAAGAAACCAAAAGAAACAATAAAAAAAGTGTTAAGAGAAAAATAAAAGAAAAGATAAAAATGAAAAAATTAGTAAGTGTTAGGGTAAAAACAGAAAAAATTAGAAGAGGGAATTAAAATAAAAAATAAAAAATAAAAAATAGGGAAGGAGAGAGCACTTTCAACCAAACGATACTGTTTTGGTCGAAAGTGCCCCAACTGTAATGTGGATCCTCATTTCTATTCTATAGATAACAAAATGGGATTGAACTTCCCATAAAAAGAGATGGAAAAAAAAAGAGATTGAACTATGAAATTAGTTGTTTTGTTATGTAATAAATTATTAGCTTTTATTTAAAAAAAGGATTAGGTGTTATATCTTGTGAAATTTTTCTCTGATTGAGTTTGTCTAAGTAAAACATTATTGAATTCACAACCTAATGAATAGGCTTATTTGTTTGGTTGTTCATCACAAAATAGCTTTTCCTAACGCCTAATAACTATGGTAGACCAAATTCCAAGACGATATTTTTTAAAAGGATCAATGTCATCCGTGTCTCTTAAAATTTTAGGGTCATACTTACTCAGTTTTTAAACTTTAAAAACTCTTAGTTTAACCTTGAATATCAAATTGGTCATACTCAAAATTTGGAATTTTAATTAAAACAAATAGAAAAAATATCATTTGATCGCAATTAATCCCTTTTCTTAATCTATTTTCAATGAAAATTATATTATAAGGGCTAAGTAAGATTAGTTCAAATTTTACAGAGTACGGGTGAAAATAATCTTTTTTGTTTTGTTTTTTTTTTTGGTAGAAGGTCAATACAAGAGATTTAGGATTTGAAAGATTAGTAATGACAATAGAGTGGAGCAGAGCAAACAAGAAACGATTTCTCGACCCCATCCCTGGCCCCAAAAACCATCCCTATCCTCATCCCTGCTCCATCCTCACTTCACAAGAACTGAGGTTGGGGATTCCTCTCTAGGGACCTTCCCCATACCACTCCAACTCCCCATCTAATATATATAACTATCTATTTTAAAATTATAGCAATTTAAGACAAATATGAGATGCAAATTCATTTTCTAAACCAAGATCAAGATTTCACAAAATAAACCAAATTGTAAACATACGCAAATTAAAACTTGATAATAAATATAACTATGCAAGCAGAGACAGAGGCAGAGCTACATATGACAGAGGGGTAGGCAATCGCCCCATATGAGTTTTGTTACACCATGGTCGAGCAATCGGCCATCCTCTCAAACGACAGGCACCGAGGACTCCTTGGTGAGAACCGGTTGTTGGCGTCGAGAGAACTACTGTAGCTAAGGTGCCCTTTGGACGTCGAGAGCCCATGCAAGGCGACGAACGTCGAGCACCGTGGCCATTATGTCGAGGCAGCAAGTCCAGTCAAATCCATCAACAAATCTTATCAACCCAGGAAAGGATACACTGTGCCAACTGCTACTGTTGAAGTCAGGAAATCAGGCAGTCGGTAAGAGAGGTTAACCTGATTGCCTGAAATTATCATCATGAAAATGCACCTACGCCATCCTAAAATCGAGGGATAGAAGATGGCTTCCTCCTCGGGAAGTGCAGAGAAAATGATTAAATGTAAAGGCCTATAAATAGAGCCAAACAAGCCCATTGAAGGGTTATGCACTATTTCATTACTCCAAGAGAGCTTGTAATCCCATAAGATATTAGTGCATCCACAAGTGGATTAGGCAAAGAGTTCTTGCCAAACCACTATAAATCTCTGTCTCCTTTGCATTATTTTCTAACTTTAATCCTTAACTAAGCTGTGAGTGTTACTAAGAGCGTCTTTGGAGAGTAAATCACATGTTGTCGAAAAAACACCATCAACAAGTCCCTCCTCACATTTTTTTAAGCTCCGCCCCTAGTTGTGAGAGTAGCTGATTGTCGTAAATTTGTTATTTAAAAAGTTATTATGTAAATAAATATTAGAAATTGCTTATATTAATACAAACGTGATAACTTACTCAAAAAAATTAGTATAGAAGTTGGAATCCCTACACTCCTCAAACGTAGGGGCAATTATAAAATGTACGAGGAGTATAAGTAAAAGTGAATGAGCGAAAGAGGGATGAAATTTCTATATAGGTTTGGTACATTTGAAGAAACGTAAAGTGTATGCTTTTACTTGGAAGGAGAAAATAGGTGTGAATGTGGAAAGGAACTAATAATTTAATGCCATTATCATAGGAAAAATGTCACCTTCAATGACCATTGGGAGCTATACCGTAACACGCAAGCATGCGCTATAACGAATCAATAAACAGCTCACCGTTCATATTGCCTTCTATCTTGCATTCAACTTGTATGTTCCTTTGATATTTGTACAAGATTGTACGTCATGTATGCATAAATGTCAAATAGGGGAAAATAATTACATAAATCTAAACATCTAGAGTTGAAAAACCCCACGTCCATATCATTTATTTATTTTAGAAATATGTGGTGCCATTTTGATTTTTGATTGTTAGTGTCCCACGATTCCCACCCAGCGTTTAATCACAATATCCAACAACTATTATTATTATTATTATTATTATTATTATCATTATTGTTGTTATTTTTTACCTTTTTCTTTTATTCGGAAACCAACCGGAACTAAAACTTTGATAACTATTTCTATTAGTATTGATTCATTTTAAAGAGTCTTTTTTTATACCTTAATATACGATACGTCAGATTTTTTAATTATTAAATATGTATAAAATTAAGTAAAAAATACACAAATTTAACAATAAAAAAACTTAATATATCAGCACATCAAGTATAAAAATCTCTCCATTTTAAAATATATATTATATCCTTTGCCGTATACCCCCAAAGGTGCAAAATTTTATGGTAAGAAAAAGTACAATTATTGATATAAAAAGAAGGGTCCTGTTAGACAATTCACATATTTAATGGTCAAAAGTCATATTACAAGTCCTCTCCATGCAACATTACTTGTAATAAACTCGTGTCTTAAATGTTTATCAAAAGCTAATCAAGATTCAAGCACCTTACAATAGTAATTATAACAATATTGAAAAGAGACAAACTTGTGCAGTGAAGAGACATTGTATCTATCATATCATATCTAAAATATGACATATTAAGATTAATTAAAGATTCTAACATGCGGAATGCATAATTTAGCCATAGAAGCTCACTAGTGGAGCAACGCAAATTTGCCACATTTCCTAAGCAAATTTTGCACACTCATATTCATTGTTATTATATAACCCACAATGAATTTGATTTGCATAAAGCATAAAAAAATACATTTTATGTTAAAAGAATAGAAATCCCATTTCAGAAGAAGGTTCCAACAAAACCAATATAAGAAATTTTTGTATATTCACAATCAAACAAAACAAGCAGCCCCATTATATATCAAACCCTTTTTTCTTATATATTTATTCCCATTCATCATCCTTTTCTTTTTCAAATTTCTCCTTAAAAAAATAAAAAAGAAAAAAAAATCCAAAAAATGGGTAAAGCCAAAATCTACGTCTCAGACGCGTAATTACAGTCTTTAGTGTCTGGTCCAACTACAAGCATTAGCTAACCAATAACTGTTCGCCATGTGTAGACGTGGCAACTTGCATTCCAACACCCACGACCACTTGTTGCTCAACCCTGTTCGCCATCATCCCCAACGACGTCGTTCCATTCCTACCCGCCTTCTTCCTCCTCTTCGGCGATCCACTCTCTGACGACGACGACGCCGAAGAAGAAGAACAAGAAGACGACGACGAAGGCTCCGGCGACGACCTCTTCGACGTCACTCTCACCGGATCAGGCTCGCCAGAGTTAACCCGGAGCGGGAAGTTCAGCAAAGCTCGCGACCCTCGCATCCGGTACGCCGCCCGGTCGTACGCCAAGGCAGCGTCCTCGGCGGTCTCGAACGTCCCGAGCCAAACTCTAGCTCCGTTTTTTGCCGGATCCCTAATCTCCGCTGCGAACTTCCCCCACGGCCGCTGCCTCACTCCCCTGTAGTGCTTCCCCTTCGGAGGCACCACCGCTGGCGCCGCCGCCTTCTCCGCCGCTGGAGAAACAGAGTTCTCAGGCAATCTGTTCACTGCCGACAATACCTCCGGCTCCGATTTCACCATGGTGAAGCAGGTCTCCGGCGACTCTGCGCCGCCCCCGCCGCCGAGGGAGGGGACCCAACCGACGCTGACGGCATCGCGGAGGACGCCGTAGAGCACCATGTCCTCGGAATCGTCCTCTTTGAGAGGCAATTCGCCCCAGTTCTCCGTCAAGCAAGGGTAAAGGCTGCTGAAACTGGAGCTCCGGCAGAAAACCGGAGCCACGGGACCGGAATTGGTGACCGGAGCTCCGATTCGGATCTCCGGCTCGCCGAGAAGGTGTCGGCGAATCGAGTCGAGGAGAGCCAAGTCCGAATCCATCGTACTCTGTCCGTGCATTTCGTGTTCGGAAAATTGGAATTTAAGGGTTCGTGTGATGAAGAAGAAGATAAGAGAGAAGAAGAGGAATTGAAGAGAAGACAAGTCTGAAATCTGATTTTTTGTGTAATAAGGAAAGAGAGAGGCTTATATAGGGGAGTAGGTTCATGCACTTAGGACGGAGTGATTTTTTTCTTTTTAACTTTTTTGTGGGAAATTAATAAATTAAAACATTAGAAATAATTTTCATAATTAAATAACATTGTGCGTGGAGGTTTCGATGAAATAGCTGAGCGTGCAAATTGTGTGGATGTGGGCCGTGCGTGTGGTTTGTATTGATCACGTGATTAAATTGGTGAGGAAAGGGCTAGAAGAGTGACGTCATCGGAATGACCGAAGCGCACATTATGATTTGTCGCCCTGTGTTGCTAATTACACCCTAACACTAACACCCGTTCTTGTCTGTTCTTGAACTTTTTTTGTTGTTTCGTCCCACGCATTTAATCGCCGATTTAATCATTTTTCATATTATCTATTTTAAAATGACGTTTTATAAGGAGATTTATATCATAATTTAAATTATAATTCATAATTTATATAGTATTTTTTTTATAAAAAATACACGTAAATTAAAAATTATTCTAATTTTATGATTTTAATTCACAAATCAAACGTTTCTTAAATATTGTGGTACGTATCACATAAATTCCTTCTTTATTTTCAAATGAATTCATATATTCTTTTTCAGATGATTCTTAGATTGTTTATCAAATCTTAAATTAAGTCAGATAGGCAACACTTTAATTTAAAACGCATATTAAATAGAGTTTTTGGTGTTTTCTTTTTTTTAAAACAGCTGTGTTTTTTATTTATTAGTAGTTAAAGTTGTATTAAATCTAATTAAAAGTCAAATTAGATTGAAAAAATAATACAGATTCAACGACTGATGAACAAAGAACATTGGTGTTCTAAAAAAAAGAACATCAAAAAAATTCTCTTTTTTTTTTTTGTTTGCTAAAAACTGAAACATATCTATTAGTTCTTACACATACACATATTTTGTATTTTAAAAAGAAAAAAGTTACATAAATTATATTCTTATTGTTGTTGTATTTTCTGTTTTTTTTTTCTTCCTCTTTACTGTATTGTCAGATAATCCATCAAATGTTCTATTCTTTAAGTTTATATGTCATTTTAGTATTTATTAGTTTTTTTCGTCGTTTTTATCTTTAGTAGAAGACTTCATAGATGTATTCGTAATATTTCGGTTATAACTTTGTTTATTGTGGTATATTTTATTTCTATTCTTTCACTTTACACTTGTGGCCCCTGAACTATTGACGTGTTGCGAAAATTCCTCTTAAAGTTTAAAAATAGTAAATTTTTCCCTTAACAATTCGCCGTTACCACGCGTCTCCCTTATCCGCCCCTTCTGTTAAATTGTAAACGTTAAATGTTACATGTCAGTCGCCGAGGCATTTAATTTTTAATGTAATATGAAATGACGATTTCAGCCCTCCTTGAGGTGATGTGAAAGAGAAGAGGAAGGAATATGAGATTGAGTGTGTGGAAGCAGCTTTCGAGAGGTCCTAGGATAAACGAGTCATCGGGAGCCTGGCCGTCATGGAACTTGGCTTGCACGTGGTTGGTCTTGAAGGAGGAAAGTTTGGGGATGGAGTAAAGCCAGTAAAAGAGGCAATGGAATGCCCTAAGGTAGTAAGAGGAAACGGCGGAAATGGAGGCAAAGAAGGAGAGAGGGAGGGAGTTGAAGGAGGAGGAGCGAGAAGAGAAGGAAGAGAATAAGAAGGCGATATGGGAGAATAGGGGAGAAAGCCAGACTCGGACGAAGGCGCCATACTTGAAGTTGAGGGAATCGAGGATGTAGGAGATCATGAGGCCCACGGTGAGAGTGGCAACGATGGGGATGCCTCCGAGGTTGAGAAGGAAGGCAGCGCATGGGAGGAGAGCGACGGCAATGCGGGAGTTGTGAGCGAAGAAGGAGATGGCTGGAGAGAAGCGAGAAGTTTTGTTGTTAAGGGATCTGCGAGAAGAAGGGCCGGCATCAGAGCGGTTAGGGTTTGGATTGGCGGAGAAATTGTTGAAGCAGGAGGTGGAGGAGAAGGAATGAGCGCTGACTGAGGAGGAGATGTAGGGACGAAAGGAGCGTGGTTGGGGCTCTGGCGGGATCATCTTCGTCAGTGACGGAGACGATGAGAGGATTTTGGGTATTATGGAATGGATTTCAGGATTTGGCCTAAATTACTTATTTACCCTTACAATGAGAGTCACGTGCCACAAACGTGACACTTAACATTTAAAATTTAACAGAGGGGGTGGATAAGGGGGACGCATGCTAACGGTGAATTGTTCAGAGGGAAAATTTATTATCTTTAAACTTTAAGAAGAATTTTTGCAACACGCCAATAATTCAAGGGGCACAAGTATAATTTATCCTATTTCTCTTGTTTCTCATTACGTGATTCGTATGAATTGAATCTTTAAAGAGCTCATATTTAGATATCTATTCAAGCCTAATCAACATAAATTGATTTTTTTTTTTGTTGGACTGGATTCAACTTACTTTTAATTACGGGAGGATGCGGTAAATAACATACTTTTAAAATTAAATTAAGTAAATAGCATATTTAAAATAAATAGTAATTTATCTGGTAAATAAATCATTTATCACGTAAATAATTTATTTACGGCTAATAAAAATATTTTTTTCGTAAATTTTCTTTTTACGATTGGTAAAAAGAATTTTTTATGTAAATAAAGACTTTTTAATATTTTTTATCACGTAAGTTATTTTTTACCAGTTGTAAATGAATTATTTACACCACATAAATTGTTATTTTCTTCTAATAATTTTAAAATATGCTATTTATTTAATTTGGTTTAAAATTTTTGTTTTTTACTACAATTTTCCTTTAGATAATTTGGTTTAAATTTGAAAATAATCTCAAATCATTTTTTTTTTTTTTTTTTAGTTTGGTTTGCAGTTTGATGTCTAATTATCACAAGTGTCTATCCACCGACACTGATATTTTGCAAGTTAGGTTGAGAAGGATAACAAAAATAAAATAAAATCTACATAACTAACCGTATTAAGAGATGCCGTTAATTATAAGCACGTGTTAAAGAAAGAAAATTGGTTTACATATATTATCCTCTGAGTTGCGTTAAGATATATAATTGACAATATAATGCTAAGCGACATCAATCTTAAATAAATGCTTTAAGTCTTTAACAAAAAACGAAAATATTTTAAATAATAAAGAAAAGAAAATATCTATAGAGGAAAAAATGGAAAGCATAATTATTCTTTTACTTTAAACTTCACGAAAAAAATTAATAAATACAAGTTGATTTTACGTAGGCCCCTTAGTTATATACGTTCGTACGAATGATTAATGAACTTGTGCTTAATCGAATAATATATTAGAAGCGAAATAATGGTAAAGTAGTACTAGGACATTCGAAAAAAGAGTTATTTTTTTATACACTTGATGTAACGGTAAGTTAAATTTTTTTAATTATTATATTTACGTATTTTTTAATTTTTATATAATTTTATATAAATTTAATAAACATAAAATTTAATTTATTGATATATTAACGTATTAAAAAAGAAAAAATCCCTTAAAATAAATAAAAAAATAAGAGGATAAAATTGAATAGAGGATGAATTGGCTGACAAGTTAGGGAAGAAAATTGAAGAAAAAATAAAAATAAGTGGATGTTTAATTGAAAGATTTAAATTATAATTTAAATTATGATTCATAATTCACTATAATATTTTTTCTTATAAAAAATACACATAATCAGACGTTTATTAAATAGTGAAAAGGACCGGTTAGTACGATGGCAAGAGAGGGATGAGGATCCATTGGTTCTAGACGATTAAAGCAAAAAGTTTCTTTTGGATAAGTCTCATAAAGTCAAGAACCCCATTAGGCAATTAACCTATAGAAAGTGGGTATGACCCACATCTCTCAACTTGCCCTCCACACTTTAAGTGACCCTTCAAGCAAGGTGACTCACTCACCCCCTTTTTTATTTTACTTTTATTATTTTTATATTTCAAATTTGATTAGCACTACTTCGGAAAATGCAATCATCGTTTTTTCTGTAGTTTTTTTTTTTATTTTTTATATTTATTATTTAATATATAAATTTTATTAATATGACATATTATTATTTTAATGGAAAATAAAATTATAAAATCCACATGTTAAGTAATAATATAAAAAATAATAAAGAGAGTAATAAAAAAATAATACTAATATTTTTCTAGACGCTTGATATAAGTGTAATTGTAAAGGCACTAAAATAGCTTTCATTTTTGTAAGTTGCTTTTTGGTTGGATTAGAGTAGCACCTTTATTGGATTTGGATAGTAATTTGGCTTTGGCCAATTTGTGCAATCAATCATGTAATAAAGTATGCTAAGAAATTTGGGCATTAATTTACTTTAATGAGGTAGGTTGGCGAGAGAGGAAAAAAAAAAAACAAAAGGTTGATCTAATTTCTACCTCTTTGTATTTTCTTGATGTGAATAAGAAAATCCGCAGCACTAGAATGTTAAACATTAATTGTTCTTATTGTGTTAATTGAATCACTTTTAATAAGAACAATTAATGTTTTACATTCTAGTGCTGTGGATTTTCTAATTCACATCAAGATTTTGATGGATGAAACTAATGATGATACGTGGAGTCACATTTATTTAATCACGGTAATGAGATTACTCACACTTTAATAAAGCGGTCATTTTCTTTAAATGACGATAAGTATTGGTTAAAAGATTATCCTAATTGTAGTAAGGTTTTGTAAGTGCGAATATGACTATCATTGAATAAGACAACTCACTTTCCCTTAAAGAAAATAAAGTTTTTCTTTGCATAAAATTTTCATGTGAGAAAATGCATAATCCAAAATTTTCATGCATCCAAACCTCAATAATAAAAGAAAGTTAGTAATTTGCTCAATCAGGTTGTAATATGATTATACCCTCGTCCCTGTCCCTCTCTCACCAAAATTTATTGATAGCTTGCCTCCTAAATTCTTAATTTGGACACTTTACCTTTTTTAATTTGTTTATTGTTACAATGTGTTTCATTTTTACTATTTTTTCG